TCTATGCTGCACAATTACAGAAGCAGGCTTATAATCAATGTAATTGAAGATCAGAGTTAATGAGGACCTCCGTGCCCGTGTAGTCCCTTGAGCAACGCTGAGCTTCAGATGCTAGATAAGGAAATGATTGGGCTGAACTGAAAATCCATTTGGCTAATTAGATGATGTATATTCCCACAAGCCAGTGGGAGAAAAAAATATATATATATTTAAAAATAAGGAAACATGACATTTTGAAGTTGAGATTTTGGCAAAGATTTGTTTCAGAGTCCTTGTTCTCTGGGGAGATCTATTTGAGCACAAAGAGGAATCTTAGAGTACCCAGAAAAAAGGGGGTGCTTTTGATCTAAAGCCCAGAAAATAAAATAGGAGTCCAGTGGAAAACTAGAGAAATATGAGACACATGGAATAATGCATTTTTATTCCCTTTTATATGTATTTCTTCTCAAAGTAAGGCTAGAATTTACCTAGAAAGGGCTGCTTGCCACTCTTTGACCTTATTACCTGTTCTCTCTCTCTATCCGTTGCATTCTCTACACACACACACACACACCCCACAGCAACTTCTAAGCCTCCACTACATCCTAAGCGCTATGGTGACTGCAGAGTAGAATAAGGCATTGTCTTTGCCTCCAAGAAATGCGCATCTAGATGGGAGGATAAGAAAAGAGGAATAAAAACCACTCATGCTCTGCCTTAGATTTGCCATCTCTGAACTCCCTTCCTGGACTTTAAGTTCTCAGTGGACAGATACCACATTTTACTCATCCAGAGCCTGAGACAGGGCATGGCACACAGTAGGTGTTCTATTTGTTAAAGGAACAAATATATGACTGAATGAATGGATCTATAACATGGCATATATAGCTGCTAGTTAAGTGGAATACCTAGTGAGTATTAGAGAGATTGAGGGGTATGAGCTAGGTCTGAAGACCAGCTTGGAGGGGAAAATGCCACTTCAGCTTTTGCCTGTTTTTTTGTTCTTTCTTCACATTCTTCAAAGTCTAGCTTAAAGGCCGACTCTTCACTGACTCCGCTCTGACCTTGCTTTTCCTTCCCCTTATGTCTAAAGGCAATGCCTATCCTTCTCAGGCAGTTCTTACAACACTCTAAGTTGTCTTAGAGCTTTATGTGCATCCATTTGATCTGCCTTTTTAGTCCATAATTTTCTTGACAGATTCAGTCCATTTCTCATTCTTTATGTGTCTTTCTTGTGCAAGGAGGTGTTTAATAAATGTTGCTTAAATGAACTCATGGATTAAGTCTTGGTGATTACATCTTGCACAGTTACTTCCTTTCACTATCGGATGTGGCATCTCCCTGCCATATGTCCTTGCCTCTTCGCACTGATTTCTTCTAGCATCTCTACTTTAATCATCCATGCCACAAGCCCACGAGGTGAATGAGAGCTCAGGAGCCGTGATAATGGAGTTCAAGATTTGGTTTGGAACTGAGGAGACTCTGAAGGACTAATCTTGTATTCTGGCTCTCAAAAGATAAAAAAAATAATAAACCTTGGGTTCAATGTGGAGGCATTCCTGCTTCATAATCCCATGATGAAGTGAGTTGAATTTCCCTCCAAGCATGGCACTTTGATTTCATTAATTCACTCAACAGACATTTATTAAACTCTTAGTATGTGCCAGACATTTTGCTGAGGGCTGGATTGATGAGGACTAGTGAATGAGTCATGACCTCTTCCCTGTAGGAAATCATAGTCTATCAGAGAGAGCAAAAGCCCTCCATCACTACAGGATATGCATTAAAAGGGAAGGCACAGAAAAGAATTCTGCCTGATAGCCAACCAGAGCCCCGATTCTCATGACAGCCTGGAATGATGAGCAGGTCCTAGCTTTGGATGCTGAGAAACCTGGGTTCACTTTCCACTCTGGCCACTCATTAGTTGTGTGAATTTGGCTAAGTCAATTTCTCTCTTAACCTCATGTTGTCTTTCTCTAAAACTATCCTGCAAGGCTCTTGAAAGGATTAAGTGAGCAAGAGGTATAAACATGTTTATCCCAGGGTCTGGAACAAAGACAGCATTCAAAGGATAGTAACTCCCTTCTGCCATTAAACCAGCAGTATACCTTGGTATAGTATCTTTTTAAAGAAGCTGAGGATAACCTGCTTTTGAGTCATTCCCTTCCAAGGAATTCCATATTTCTCATATTTAAGAGAGATCTGTTAACTGGTACTGCATTCAGAGCTCCCAAGTTCATAAGAAATCCAAACAGGAATGCAAATAGTTCCTGTTAGTTGAGATTCACAACGTACCAGAGACTTCACATACTGTAGGGGATGTTGTAATGTCACATCCAAATCTCTCGTTAGAACCTAGGCTCTCATTCCCCCAGCTTCCAGGAATGGTGGTAGTTGACCACTCACTCTGAATCTTTCTTGCAGAAATGTCCTCCATTGAAAGGAACCACTTCACCAAAGTCCCTTCCCCAGGGAAAGCCCAGAGTCTATGACTGGTTAGTGTCGGGGTACAAAGGCCCAATACCCTTGTCTTGATTTGGAACAACACTGAAGGATCATCTCAGCTCCAGAGCTTCCGATGGGACAGTTGGACTTCTCCCTCTGCCTAACCCCACTTGGTTCATCCCCTTACAAGAGGGCACTCCAAAAGCCCTCCTATGTGCCACTCTCTGCCTTTGAGTCTGATAGCTGGTGAACCTGACCTAAGACAAATGCATTTTCTCATTTAATCCTTATATTAACCCTAGGAAGGGGGAATTAGTCTCCATGCTTGTCATATGAGATGACCGAGGATCTGTTTTCTTGCCCAAGTTTACAGAGCTAGTAAGTAGCAGACTGAAGGCCTGGATGCATGTCTTGCTGACTCGATTCTCTTTATCTCTGCACTGTGTAGCTTTTCTGAAGTAGTGGGATTAGGCAGACTCAGCCCTGGGACACAATTCAATATCCATCCCTCAGTCTTCAGTGAGAATAAATACCAGAATTATCCATTTAAACAGCATGACTGTGCTTTTTAAAAGAAAAATCTGTAGTTGATACTGATGTTCGGTGCCTTGCACAAGGACCCATGTGACATGTTTCTGCTCGGGCTTACTTCCAGAGGGGGAAATATGGCTTTGCAGATAGATTTGCATATCTTCCCCTGCCAGAAATTTGAAATATGGAATCCAGCAGACTTTTTCTTTTTCGCTTTAGCTGCCAAGGATTTTTAGGACAACTTCAAATGTGGTCATTTCCTTATCTTTGAGCCTGATGCTATCTACTCCTTCTGCTTCACATAAACTCCTCTTTCCTCCGCATCAAAAATCATGGTGTCCACTGTGTTTTACTTAGCAGCTCATTCTATAGGATGATATAAATCTTAACCTTTGTGTAAGTTAGAGAAGATAACATTGCCTGCCACACCCTCACCCTTTTCAGGCAATCTTAGGTCCTCAGGGCAGCCAGGTAAGGTCTGATCCTGCCTCCCTGGCCGTTGTTCTTTGGACCACAGCTGGGCACCAGAGCCATGAGGAGCCCAACCATTGGTCAGCCAGCAGGGTCTAATGTGACCTGACAGAGAAGCTGCTGTCACACTCATATAGTGCTTATTGTCTGAGTCCCCTTTGGGAAATTTGAGTTGCATACATGGAAAGATTTTGTTGGTTGACAGTGAAGTAGAGAGAAGCAAGTACAGGGAGATAAATGGAGTCACATTAATTATGAAACAATTTAAGACCTCCTGCTGCTGGGGTCCATAGATCTGCCATGAATCTAGAACCACTCTCCGGTCCAGCTTTGTGGAGCCTGGTCCTATTTGAACTCTCTTTTTTCTTTCCTCCTGTGAAATTGTATCTTTACCTTATTGCTACATACACACTCTCACATTTACACTCGACATGCAGCCACCTTGAATGGGTTTCTGTTCCTTGTCCCCAAAGAATATATGTATGTGTATATATGTATGTAATGCATGTATGTATGCACATATGTATATGTGTATATATATTTTTGTGTATGTAAGTGTATGTGTGTATATATGTATTTTTAAAGAGGAGCATTTTAGAGGATAGATTGCAAAGCTAGGGTCTTTTGTTTGTCTTACGCAAGCTTTCAAGAAAAAATTTAAGCCATCATTTCCAAATTGGTTGATTACAATAAAAACCTGAATTTCCAGCTTCTCCTGAAAATAACCTGAAGTTCTTGCACCACTCGGCTTTAGACCCATTTGGCAAGAATTGGCTAGAGTGGGCTCTCAGCTGCTCCGTTTTGATCCAGACTTCAGTATTGTTTCCCCCAAACTCTTTCTTTCCCTGTTGATTCCCAACATTAAGGCATTTTCCATTGCACAAGTGCTAGTTTTTTTCTTAAAGGTCCTAGAGATGTCTTTGAATCTCTCTATCTATCTCTCACTAATGGAATGAAAATACAAAACAAAATACAAGCTAGGTCAGGAGGCCAGGATGCTATTTCCCTTACACTCAGCCAGTCTCTCCCATTGATATCAGACACCTGGCCCCTGTGGGCATTAGTGACCCCCATTCCAGGGGGGCCGCCTGGGTGACAGAGACATTAGCTTTTAATATTTAATTATTCTTTAGTAGGACAATTCAGGAACTGGCTAAGCACTTTATCTACATTAATTTATTTTATTCTCGCAACAATGAGGTGGGTTCCATTAACATTCCCATTTACAGATGATGTAACCAAAGCCTAGAGGTATTGAATGACTTGCCCAAAGTCAAAGACTGTTCAAGGGAGATCCAGGATTTGAACTCAAGTCCTAAGGGCCTGACTCAACTACTAGGCTGAACTGTCTCTGATGTCTGATTTGTCTCTGTCTCTATTGGCTGCTGACACCGTGACTGACACAGTGTAAATGCTCTGTGAATGTGTGTAGACAAGTGAGGACGGGCAAGCTGGGGTGGGGGATGGCTCGTGCCCACCTGTCTGTGTTGCTGGCCTGCAGCATCAGCAATGAGACACATCTGTACCCTAAAATCGGGGAGAAAGTAGCTGTCTTTTTCTCTGTTCACCCACAGGGAGCAGCTTTGTGGTGAGTGAAGGGAGCTACCTGGATATCTCCGACTGGTTGAACCCAGCCAAGCTGTCCCTGTATTACCAGATCAATGCCACTTCCCCATGGGTGAGGGACCTCTGCGGACAGAGGACGACAGATGCCTGTGAGCAGCTCTGCGACCCAGAAACCGGTGAGCCATGGGGGCAGGGCTGGGGATGGGGGAGGGAGGGTATGGGGTGAAGGATGCTCTGCGTTCCTTCTGTCTGAAGAATTGTGGTTCCTGAGCCACTGGCAATGTGCTTTGTGTAAAGGTCCATCAGTCCCCTTGGTGGTTAAACCATGTGCTGCAAAGGAGAAAATACTCATAAAACCGCAGAATCTCAGAGTTAGAAAGGACCACAGAGAGCGTCTAGTCTAACTGTAGCAAAGCAAATTGTCTGAATGTCATCAAACGTCTCTGAGCTCAAATCCTGTCCACCTCTTACTATCTGGGTATTTTGTAAAATAATTTTCCCAGATTTATTGAGACATAATTGACATATCACATTGTGTAAGTTTGAGGTGTGCAATGCCATGATTTCATGCACATATATAGTATGAAATGCACGTATGTAGTACTGCAGTGAAGTTAGCTAACCCTCCATCACCTCATATACTTACCACTTTTTTTGTGTGTGATGATAACGTTTAAGATCTACTGTCTTAGTACCTTTCAAGTATACAATGCAGTATGGTTAATTGTATTCACTGTGCTGTAAATTAGATCCCCAGAATCTATTCATCTTAAATGGGGAGACGTTGGTCACAGGTACAAACTATCTGCGAGTTCTTTACCAAGACATGTCCTGTCTCTGAGTACCAGAGAATGAAAATAGCATCTATCCCACAAGCCTTTTGTTAGGGTTAAATGAGATAATGCATGAAAGCTCTTGGCATATTCATTTATTCATTCATTTGACAGATATGTATTGAGTAGCCAGACTCTTCTAGGTATCAGGGCCACAGCAGTGAACAAAAGAGGCAAAATGTCAGCCCTAATTAAGTTTATTTTCAAGGGAGACATTGAATCTGCACTGTAGCCGTTAACCACATGTGGCTACTTAAATTTAACTTACTTAAAATTAAAGTAAGCATTTATTTCCCCAGTCACATTGGCCATATTTCAAGTGCTCCGTAGCTACGTGTGACTAGTGGCTACATCTTGGACCACTCAGATATAGAACATTACCATCATTGTAGAAAGTTCTGTTGGACAATGCTCTAATAGACAAACAGGCAAATGTATACATTACTCTGTCAGGTGATGATAAATGCTGGAGGGAGAGCACAAAGCATATGGAATGCTAAGCTGGGAGTGAGAGAGGAGTTATTGTTCTATAGAGAGTGGTCAGGGAGGGCTTCTTGGAGAAGGTGACATTTGAGCAGGCACCTTAAGATGGGCATGGAGGAACCACGCCACTGTCTGGAGGAAGAGCATTCTAGCCAGAGGGAACAGCATGGGCCAATACTAGGTGACAGGAGCACAGGAATGTGCCATTGGAAGACCAGCATGGCTGGTAGGGAGTGAGAGAGGAGGGGAGCAGGAGGCAGACTCGAGAAGAGGAAGGTTGTGGGGGGAACAGAGGTTGCAGGACCTTGTATAGGATGACAAGGACTTTGGATTTTACTCTGAGTGAGAGGGGAAGTCATTGGAGGATCCTGAGCAAAGGAGCAGCATGAGCTGACCTACATTTTAACAGGATCTCTCTGGCTGCTGTGTGGCAAACCTTAGAGGGACTTCAGGGCACCAAAATTTTAATCTAGGCAAGAGTTGGTAGTGGCTTGGACTACGGGGATAAGGGGAGAAGATGCTGAGAAATGATCCAACCTGGATATATTCAGATTGTAGATTTGACAGAACTTGTTATTGGGTGTAGGAGGTGAGAAACAGCGAGGAGTCAGAGATGATTCCAAATTGTTCTGTCTGAACAATGGCATGAGTGGACTTATCGTTTATTGAGTCAGGAGGTGCTGTAGGAGGGTCAGAGCTGAGGTGAGGGGAATCAAGAGTCCTGTTTGTATATAAGTTCAAGATGACTGAACATCAAGTAGAGATGGAAAATGGGCATTGAGATCAAAGAGGTCTTGGCTGGAGATAGAAATCTGTGAGTCAACACGTATAGATGGTATTTAAACTCACGAGACACTATCTTATTTGTACTAAATGGACAATATCTTATTCTTAGTTGTTGCTCAATAAGTGGTAGTTATTAATGTCCACAAATTTGGAAACACAAGTTAGAGAGAAGAAGAGACTTGCCAAGGTCTCAAAGCAAGTTACAAATGAAGCTGGTGTTAGAACCCCACTTCTCCTTGCTCCTGGTCCTCTGCTCCTTCCTGCAATTTTTGTTGGTATCTTTTTTTCTGGAACCTCATCCCTCTCTCCATTAACAAGAGTCTGGAGATCTTGCCTGGAAAATTCATGGCGCAGATGTAGAGCCGAGGGTCACAGTGGCCCAGTCCTTCCTCTGTTCATGTTCTCTTCCACTTCTTCTTGGGGCAGCAGTTCAGAGGTAAGGAGAGGGCTTCCCCAGGCCAACTCCTGTATCCCTGCAGAGTAGGCCAAGGATTTGGCTTTCCAGCCACCATTCCTTCTTATCCTTTAGTTGGGAGGATATTCAGACACAGTTTTGCAGCGTTTGCATAGGCCAATTAGGGAAGCTGGTTGGAAGATGCAGTGCAATTCAAGTGTACCATTTGACCAGACAGTTGAATCTTCTTTCTTTTAATTAAAACATTAGACTTTAAGACACTGTTCCCCTAAACAGTACCCTTTTTACCCCCAACACACATACAGATACACACACAGACACACACACACATTCTTGATTATGCTCACCCAACAGCCAGGACCGGATCTGGTCCTGCAGGTTCTCCTTTTTTCCTTTTCTTTCTTTAAAAAGGAGGCAAGATTATTGGTGGGAGGGGACAGAAGGGATTCTCTTCCTTGCCTCCCTTCATGAAGCCCAATTTGGCAGAGTGGTAAGTGCCTGAGGGTCTGACCTTCTGGTTTCCCAGCTGATCTGCCTTCAGGTGCAAGTTGGTGGTTTCTGATGAGTTTCTCCCTGGGCTGCAGGCTTGAGGGCTAATTCCAAATAGTGGTCATCCAGGGAGCAGGTGTGTGCTAGCCAGTTTTGAAAATTATCAGCTCTTCCACCAATATCCTGTAGAACTAAACACACATACATACACACCTACCTTAGAGCTGAAAATGTCGCTAGAATCCACTGGGTTGACCTTCTCAACTTTATCACTGATGATGTTGATGCCCAGAGAAGAAAGGTGAGAGGACCAAAGTCACACAGCAGGCAAGTGGCAGAACCAGCATTCAAACTCAGGAGTCTGTGCTCTAATCACTGCTTCTTAAGCCTCAGTGGATCTAGAGTGGGGCCTAAGATTCTGCATTTCTAACAAGCTACCAACTATTGTGGATGCTTCTCGCCCAAGGACTATCCTTCCTCCCAAATAGTCCTCTCGTGTTCTACACAAACAGTAAAAGACCCCACTGCCATATTTATTAATTTAATTATCCTGACAAAACCATGCTCCCTTGTATCACCCCATCTTCTGCCTCTGTTTGCCACATGCCCTGGGCTCTAGCTGCATCGGTACCTGCAGGTCCCTGGAGGCACCGTGGCTTCTCATGCCTACATCCGTTTCACAGGTTGTTTCCTTCCCCTTGAAATGTTTTTCTCCCCCTTTTACTGGGAAATCAGGGGCTCCTTTTTATTTCTATTTCATTTAGGCCAAGCACCCTTCCTTCCAGAGGCATTCCTGACTTACCATCCCCAGCCTTGACCAGATTGAGTGATCCTCCTCTCTGCTCTCATAGCTTCTGTTTCCATGTGTCAGAGTTCTCATTCCTGTGCAGAATTATTAGTCTTTCCTTGTCTGGATTTATCACCAGACTGCAAGCTTTATTAGGGGCTGGGAAGGAGGATTCAAAGCATGTTTCTTACTCATCTCTATATCTTTACAACTTAGCAGAATGCTGACATATAATTAGTGCACAGACAATAATGAAAGGAGGAAGGAAGAAAGGAATTTCCCGCGCCATGCTCCTCGAAACAGTTGTATACACCAATTCTTAGTTCTTTCCTTCATATCCACTTATATATGAACTCAGATTGAATATTTTCCAGCTTTAGAGAAACTGTCTCACCAAGAACTGTCCAGTAGCCGGTCAGCTGACCTCTAAGATGCTCTGGTCTCACCCTCCCATTCTGCCACATCCCAAAGAGCATCCCTTTTTGCATTCTCCACTCTGTACATATCACGTTTGTCCCCCACACGCCCCATGCAGTCTTACCTTCTGACTAGACTTCAAGCTCTTCCTTCTACCTGAAATGTCTTCCATCCTTTAATTATCTACCTTCCAAAATCCTATTCACTTAATTACCTCTCATTTCCTTTCGGTAGAATGGGTGACTTCTTCTACAGTATCATCCGAGTTGTCCGGTGACTGAAAATCTGATTAAAATTTGAGTTACTGTTTGGAAACTTGTCTACCCAGCTAAAACGTAAGCTTCTTAAAGCCAGGGACTGTATCTAATTCATCCCCGTATCCTTCCCACCCTGATGCCCAGCAAAGCAGCTGATCCTTACAAGTCACTTAAGGCATAAGCGGATGGGACCATCTACAGATAAGGAGTGGAAATGGGAAATAAGATCCCTGAACATATTTTCATGGGGCTTGAATGAGACCCACTTTGCAAAATTTACTTCAATTTGTTAGATTCAATTCAAGCAAGATTTTCTTAATTCCACAACTCATAAGTCTTGTGTGTTAAGTGCTATGAGAAATCACAGAAAAATTGGACAATGTTCCTGCCTTCATGGATTTCACATTTTCACGGGAATAAAAATAATATGCTCATATATAACTATTATAAAAGACACAATGTGGAATAAATCAAGAACAGGCATTAACAAAGTACCTCGTGCCTGGATAAAAGGGATATATGTATTCTAGATGGGGATTTAAGGAGATATATCACAGACGATGACCTTTTAGCTGAGCCTGGTGGAAGCAGTAGGGGCTATGAGTAGGAAGGGTGTTTTAGCGGAGGGATCTTCATGATTGAAAAAAAAGAGGAAGAAAGTTTAGAATGATTCCAGGAACCAGAGAGTAGGGAAGCTTGGCTGGCATCT